AGCCTTCAAGGCCCTTTTTGATCTGGCCTCAGCTTACCTGACCCCTTACCACTTATTTTCTCATTGTTCTGACTTTCCCTCACTTGAAAGGGCCTGCTCCTTCCTAGTCTCTACCTTTGAATATCTTGTTTTCTCTATTTAGAAGAGTCTTCCCTAGTGTTTTTTTTTTTTTTTATGTATCTACTGCAAGTCTATGCTTAGAGGTCGCTTCCTCCAGGAAGCCTCCCTTAATATCCCAAGTTTATGTTAGGTGCCCATCCTTATTGCTCCCATATCACCATGAACCGTAACATTAAAATATTATATTTCCAGGTGCCTTGTCTGTCCTCTCCCATTTTATTTTAAACTCTTTGAGGGAAGGATTATTTGTCTACTTGCTCACTTTATAAATTATGTGCTCATTATCCCTTAGGTCACTGGTATATGGTGTTTGATAAATGTTTTTTGGAATGAGTGTTTAAAAGTTTGGATTACAGCCAGGCATGGTGGCTCATGCCTGCAGTCCCAGCACTTTAGAAGGCCAAGGCGGGCAGATTGCTTGAACTTAGGAGTTCGATTCAGCCTGAGCAACATGGTGAGGCCGTTTCTCTACAAAAAGTACAAAAATTAGCCAGACATGGTGGGACACACCTGTAGTCCCAAATACTGGGGGGAACTGAGACAGGAGGATCACCTGAACCCAGGAGGCTGAGGCTGCAGTGAGCTGAAATCGTGCCACTGCACTCCAGCTTGGGTGACAAAGTGAAACCCCGTCTCAAAAATAAAAAAGTAAAAGTTTAGATTACACTATTTTATTAAAATACATTAACATGGCTGGGCGCAGTAGCTCACACCTGTAATCCCAACACTTTGGGAGGCTGAGGCGGGCGGATCATTTGAGGTCAGGAGTTTGAACCCAGCCTGGTCACAATGGTGAAACTCCATCTCTATTTTAAAAATTGGCTGGGCGTGGTGGCTCTCGCCTGTAATCCCAGCACTTTGGGAGGCTGAGGCAGGCGGATCACAAGGTCAGGAGATCGAGACCATCCTGGCTGACACGGTGAAACCCCGTCTCTACTAAAAATACAAATAATTAGCCAGGCATGGTGGTGGGCACCTGTAGTCCCAACTACTAGGGAGACTGAGGCAGGAGAATGGCGTGAACCCGGGAGGCGAAGCTTGCAGTGAGCCCAGATGGCACCACTGCACTCCAGCCTGGGCGACAGAGCGAGACTCGGTCTCAAAAAAAAAAAAAAAAAAAAAAAAACCAAGCATGATGGCACGCACCTGTAATTCCAGCTACTTGGGAGGCTGAGGCTGAGGCAGGAGAATCACTTGAGCCCAGGAGGCAGAGGTTGCAGTGAGCCAAGATTGCACCACTACACTCCAGCCTGGGCGACAGAGCGAGACTGTCTCAAAAATGAATGAATGAATGAATAATATATTAACATGATTTAAGAAATTCTGCACTTCAGCATTAGTATAAAGACTTTAATCCTGTCTGGGCATGGTGGCTCACACCTGTAATCTCAGCACTTTGGGAGGCCGAGGCAGAAGGATTACTTGAGCCCAGGAGTTCAAGACCAGCTTGGGCAACATAAGGAGACCTCGTCTCTATAAAAAATATAAAAATTCACCTCTACAAAGAACGGAACAATTAGCCAAGTGTGGCGGCACACGCCTGTAGTCCCAACTACAAGGGAGGCTGAGATGGGAGGATCACTTGAGCCCAGGAGGTCGAGGCTGCAGTGAGCTGTGATTGTGCCACTGCACTCCAGCCTGGGCCACAGACTGAGACCCTGTCCGTATACAAATAAAGACTTGACTTTGGGAGGCCGAGGCAGGCAGATCACAAGGTCAGGAGATTGAGACCATCCTGGCTAACACGGTGGAACCCCGTCTCTACTAAAAATATAAAAAAATAGCCGGGTGCGGTTGCGGGCACCTGTAGTCCCAGCTACTAGGGAGGCTGAGGCAGGAGAACTGCGTGAACCCGGGAGGCGGAGCTTGCAGTGAGCGGAGATCGCGCCACCGCACTCTATCCTGGGCGGCAGAGCGAGACTCCGTCTAAATAAATAAATAAATAAATAAAATAAAGACTTTAATCCTGAAAGTTAACACATCTATTTTAGACAGCATATATTGGTTCAAGTCTTTTTTTTTTTTTTTTTTTCCTGAGACAGAGTCTTGCTTTGTCACCCAGGCTGGAGTGCAGTGGCATGATTTCGGCTCACTGCAACCTCCGCCTCCCGGGTTCAAGCAATTCTGCCTCAGCCTCCCAAATAGCTGGGATTACAGGCGCCCGCCACCACGCCTGGCTAACTTTTGTATTTTTAGTAGAGACGGGGTTTCACCATGTTGGCCAGGCTGGTCTCAACTCTTGACCTTGGGTGATCCACCCGCCTCAGCCTCACAAAGTGCTGGAATTACAGGCATGAGCCACCGCGCCCGGCCAGAGCCATCTTTTAAAAGGCAAAGATTTAAAATATAAAGGAACCTCCATGTTTATCTATTCAAGATTACCACATAGTACAGAATCAGCTATAGGTATTCTTAGATTTTGTGGTACTGTTTAAAAAAATACAATATTGTAAAAATAGTATATGGAAAAATACTCCAAATCTTTTTTCTTCTAATCTTTATCCCTAGTAAAGACAACTTTGAATTCTGCTTTTTATGTTTTACACTTGTATATGTGAGCATTTATGTTGCTGTCTAGTCTATACTACATGGTTTTTAAAACTATATTAACTATAATACTATAATACATATTTAATTTTAATTACATAATTATTACAAAATTAATTACATAATTTATAAAGTTGGTAAATCAAGATTTAACTATTTTCTTATTTGGCATTTTTTATTATTTTCTAATTTTATCCATTAGAAATTAAATGGTAGTGTAAATTTCTGAATGAATTGAACATATAACAGGCATAAATACAGACTCATTTTAATTTGCATCTCTTTAATAGCTAGGAAAGTTCAATATCTTTTCATGTGTGTTTACTGATTTTTTTCTACTTTTTCATCTTGTGTGAATTATTTTCTTGTTTATTGAGCAATTTATTGTTATTTTGGTTTTAAGGTCTTTTATATTATCTACATTTCAGTCCTTTGTTATTTCTCCCATTCTGTTACTTTTCTTAGAATTTTATTATTTCTCAAGGAACAGAGAGTCAACATTTTAAATGACTGGATCAGTCTTTATTTCTTCTGCCACTCAACAAACTCAAATGGCCGGGCGCGGGTGGCTCAAGCCTGTAATCCCAGCACTTTGGGAGGCCGAGGCGGGCGGATCACGAGGTCAGGAAATCGAGACCATCCTGGCTAACACGGTGAAACCCCGTCTCTACTAAAAATACAAAAAATTAGCCGGGCGTGGTGGTGCATGCCTGTAATCCCAGCTACTCGGAGGCTGAGGCAGGAGAATGGCGTGAACCCGGGAGGCGGAGCTTGCAGTGAGCCAAGATCAGGCCACTGCACTCCAGCCTGGGTAACACAGCAAGACTCCGTCTCAAAAAAAAAAAACAACAACAACAAACTCAAATGAATCATTCCTTTGTAGCTCCATCTGGAGTTTGTAGTATAAAGTAAGGATTTAGATTGTTTTCTAAAATGTTAACCAGTTTTCTTCACACCAAGACAGTTTAATTGTTTAGGTTGATAGAGTTTCTGGTAGGTGAGCAATAGCCCAAGGAGGCAGAGGCCACACTAGGGTGCTAGAAAGGTGGTTTATGTGCCCAGAATCAGTCCACAGACCCTCCAGGCAAGACAAGGAGTTACAACTGCTTCTGTGCCCCCCAGTGACCATCAGACTACTCCTGTGTCCCTTCAGAATTTATGTTCACTTTAACCTCATTTCAACCTGTACCAAAATATTAAGGGGAAAGAGGTGGGAAGACTGCTATGTAACATGCTCTCAGAGATGGTGAGTGGATGATCTAAGCCTGCCTTAGATTAATACCTCCTAGGGGCCGGGGCTAAGGGTAAGATGGGGTGTGTCTTACCTCCTGAAAGAAAACTTGTTTTGAAAGCCAGCTGTGATTTATTGGAAAGTTCTGTTAAATTTAAATTTGCCTCCCTTGTAACTTTGAACGTTATTTTTGTTTTGTCTTCTGAAATAAGACTATTTGACTTTTATGAGGAATGGCAGTTTGGGATGCTGGAAATCTAGAAGTAAAGATACTATTCAGAAGCATCTGGGTCCTGACCCTTCTCAGTCCCCATTGAGGATGTGAGCTCAGTGACAGAGGGTTCATTTCTGAAATCAAGAATCTGTTGCTGCTTTTTTCTTCCTTTTTTTTTTTTTTTTTTCTCGAGACAGGGTCCCACTCTGTCGCCCAGCCTGGAGTACAGTAGTGTGATCTCAGCTCATTGTAACCTCCGCCTTAAGCAATCCTCCCACCTCAGCCTCCCAAGTAACTGGGACTACAGGTGTGCACCACCATGCCTGGCTAATTTTTTTTTTTTTTTTGTAGAGACAGGGTCTCAACATGTTGCCCAGGCTGTCTTGAACTCCTGGGCTCAAGAGATCCTCCTACCTCATACTGCCAAAATGCTGGGATTACAAGCACGAAGCCACCACACCTGGTCTGTTACTGCTTTTGATACATTAATCTGCTTTTAAATGTATGTGAGTGTGTTTGTATCTGTTCAGGTATTTCCTCTTTCCACCAATCTGTAGTTCAACAAAAATAGTGTAGTCCTCTTCTAATAACCCCACAAATTCTGAAGTTGGCTATTCACTCTTTTTAGTTGGTTTCAGTTTTGATATTTAAAGCAGTTTCAGAGATATTGCTATCCAAGTTTCCCTCTAGACAAAATTCCAATTTATCAGTTAGTATGACTCCTTTGTATTTGGTGTCTATATGACATTTATTTTGTTAGTACACACCCTTGTATCTGAAAGAATAATTGATGATACATTTCCTTTCCTAAAGTCTAGAATTAATTGAAAATTACTTAAAGTTACTTAGAAAATATTATTTCAACAAGCAATTCTCAATCTCTTTTAGAGCAATTGTATGATGGCTATGATGAAGAGTATGATTGTCCCATTTTAGATGAAGACAGAGTAAGTATGACTTTTTCATAAAGTATGCATTTGTTGAATTTCATAGGAAAGTTGACTTCAGTTTTCTTAAGAAGCATTTTATTTTTTTAACTTTTCTTGCAGGTAGTTGATGAGTTAGATAACCAAATGAGAGAAGGTGGAGTTATTGTTGATTACCATGGTTGTGATTTCTTCCCTGAACGCTGGTTTCATATAGTTTTTGTGCTGAGAACAGATACCAATGTATTGTACGAAAGACTTGAAACAAGGTAAGAAAGGAGAAACATCAGATTCTTAAAGCATAATATTAACTTTTATTCAGATTCCTGAAATTGGCCAGTAGTACCATGATAAAGGGTTTTTGTTTTTTGGGTTTTTTTATTGTTGTTTTGAGACAGAGTCTTGCTCTGTCACCCACGCTGGAGGGCAGTGGTGTGATCTCGGCTCACTGCAACCTCCACCTCCCTGGTTCAAGCAATTCTCGTGCCTCAGCCTCCTGACTAACTGAGACCACAGGCACATGCCACTATGCCTGGCTAATTTTTATATTTTTTGTAGAGATGGAGTCTCGCCATGTTGCCCATGCTGGTCTCAAACTCCTGGGCTCAAGCAATCTGCCCACCTTGGCCTCCCAAAGTGCTGGGGTTACAGGAGTGAGTCATAGCACCCAGCTAATAAAGGGTTTTGTTTGAAAATATGACTGCTTTAAAATATGGGCAGTACTTTTTGAGTAAATTGATATCTCAACTGACAGTCTGATTGAGTAAAATGTACTGTGTAGAAATCCAATTTAGCCGGCCAGGCGCGGTGGCTCAGGCCTGTAATCCCAACACTTTGGGAGGCCAAGGTGGGCGGATCATGAGGTCAGGAGTTCAAGACCATCCTGGCTAACATGGTGAAATCCCATCTCTACTAAAAATACAAAACAAAATTAGCTGGGCATGGTGGTGGGTGCTACTCGGGAGGCTGAGGCAGGAGAATGGTGTGAAGTCAGTGGGCGGCGGCAGGGGGCGCAGAGCTTGCAGTGAGCTGAGATCGCGCTACAGCACTCCAGCCTGGGCGACAGAGCGAGACCCTATTTAGCCATGCCTTTTTTTTTTTTTTTTTTTTTTGATGTAAACCTTTGCTAGGAAAACAGTCAAGCCCCTAACATATTCTTTGCTTACTGACTGAACACTACCCACTCAAATTATCCCTGCATCAGGAATAGGAAAGCTTATGAAAAACTAACAAAATAAACCAGCATCTCACAGTCTTTAACAGATACCCAAGTTAAACCCACAAATAGAGCATCAGATTTAATGCGGAAGAACCAGTAAAGAGAAACTTTCAGGAAAGTCTTTTTTCCCCAGTGTCTTTTGATCAAAGCTGTGGGAGTATGGGGATCCTAGAGAAATTAGAGGGCAATCTCAGAAAGGAAAGCTCCAGAATTTTGCTTAAGGTCGCGGTCAGAATTCGTGGTTTTCACTGATTATAGTCAACTCTGACTAACCACTCTTGTTTGGGATACTTGTAAATCCTTGCACGGACTAGTATGGCACCAAATATACACATAGAAAAAGTAAAATTGGGGCTAGACCTAAAACTTTTTTTTAGGCAGTGAAAAGCCATTAAAAGTTTTGGGCCAGAGAAGTAATAGGGACTATATGGTACATATGCTTTTTTTCAATCAAGACAATTTAAAATTTTGATTTAAAGATTACTGTTTTACATATATAGCCAAGTCATACCAAGTATGACTAAGGTATGAAAAAACTATGAGAGAGCTAGTTAGTATTTTTAACTATTGAAAAGGTTATAAAAAAGTAACAGCTTTAGGCTGGGCATGGTTGGGTGGTGAGGGGGAGGCAGGACGGCTCATACCTCACACCTGTAATCCCAGCAATTTGGGAGGCTGAGGCAAGGTGATTGCTTGAGCCTAGGAGTTTGAGACCAGCCTGGGCAACATAGCAAGATCCTGGTCTCTACAAAAAATAAAAATAAAAAATTTAGCCAAGAGTAGTGGCATGCACCTGTGGTCCCAGCTACTTTGGAGGCTGATGTGGGAGGAATGCTTGAGCCTGGGAGGTTGAGGCTGCTGTGAGCTGTGATTGCACCACTGCACTCCAGCCTGGTGCCAAAGCAAGACCCTGTCTCAAAAGCAACCTAAAAACAAAAATATCCTCTTTATTGAAATGTAATTTACATTCACCCATTTAAAGTAGATAATTCAGGTTTTTTTTCCAGTTTTGTGGGTACATAGTAAGTGTATATATCAGTTGCTCATTTGTGTTTTTTTTAGCATATCAAAAAGTTGTACAGTCATTACCACAACCAATTTTAGAGACTCTTGGGGCCAGGCACGGTGGCTCATGCCTATAATTCCAGCACTTTGGGAGGCTGAGTTGGGCGGATTATGAGGTCAGGAGCTGGAGACCAGACTGACCAACATGGTGAAACCCTGTCTCTACTAAGAATACAAAAATTAGCTGGGCATGGTGGCGCGTTCCTGTAATCCCAGCTACTGAGGAGACTGAAGCAAGAGAATTGCTTGAACCCAGGAGGCAGAGGTTGCAGTGAGCCAAGATCACTCCAGTGCACTCCAGCCTGGGTGACAGAGCGAGATTCTGTCTCAAAAAAAAATAAAATTTTTGTCACCCCAAAAAGAAACCCCATACCCAGTAGTAGTCACTCCCCATTTACCCTCAGTTCCCCAGCCCTAGGCAACCAATAATCTACTTTCTATCTTTATGGATTTGTCTATACTAGACATTTCATATAAATGAAATCATACAGGATGTGGACTTTTATGCCTATCTCCTGTCAATTAGTTTGTTTTCAAGGTTCATTCGTATTGTAGCGTATACCAGTACTTCATTTCTTTTTATTGCCAAATAATATTCCATTGTATGGATATATCATTTTTAAATACATTTATCAGGTTGTGGACATTTGGGTTGTTTCTACTTTTTGGCTGATATGAATTGAATATTTGGTTATGAGAGTTTTCCTAATTTACTAATTCACTGGGAATTTATTGAGTAGCTGACAAATTGTGGGCAGAAAAATTCAAACCTAAATGCTGGTCTCGTGATCTTTAGTTTAACTCTAGTGTCAAGAAACTGTCATATAAACAGGTACCAGTCATTCCTCTCTAGGTGAAGAGGCCATTTCTGTAATTTTTCACGTATTGAAAAGTGTCCAGTTTTCTGGTATGTTTCTAAAACTCCAGTTAATGCCATTTATTTTGCTTTTTGTTTGGTTAACCTCCCTGCCTTCTAGGGGTTATAATGAGAAGAAACTAACAGACAATATTCAGTGTGAGATTTTTCAAGTTCTTTATGAAGAAGCCACAGCATCCTACAAGGAAGAAATCGTGCATCAGCTGCCCAGTAATAAACCAGAAGAGCTAGAAAATAATGTAGATCAGATTTTGAAATGGATTGAGCAGTGGATCAAAGATCATAACTCTTGACTTATAAGGCTAGCTACTTTATAATCACTCTTGTTGATATCTCTGCTGACATCATAGAAATTGTTCAAGTATCAGTAACACTTGATTAAAATCATGTTGCAGGACCAGCAGGTGGATAGTGTATAGGTTTATGCCTGTGTTTCTTTTTCTCCATGAGAAAGCTAAACATCTGAAATATAATGAATATAGTATTATTAAGGATTGAGACAAAACCTGTGATTTTGATACTTAAATTGCTAAAGAATAAATAAATCTAACAAAATGGGTGGATATCTTTTAAGTTTATTACAGAAAAAAATGCAGATGATCTCTTCAAATAAAACTAAAGAAAAAGCAACAGAGTATTCCTTTTCTCTTTCTTTAAATTAGAAAAAAAGTTAAGTGTTGTACTCGATACAAAGTTCAAAAGGTACAAAAAAGCACGCTGAAAAGTTAGGTCTCCCTTCCCGACCACCCTATCCCCAGGCACCCCAGGTTCCTTCCTTTTAGGAAATAATGTTACTGGTTTCCCATGTCTTTTTAGAGGTTTTATGCCTACACAGTGTATATATATGTGTGTACATTTTTTAAAGAATATAATAGTATATTGTGCACACTATTCTGTACCTTTCTTTTTTCACTTAATACATTTGGAGATTATATCATCTCAGTACAGCTCTCCCTGTTCTTTTTTTTAGTTGAGATATACCTATCATACAATAAAATTGACTATTTTGAAGTATATAATCAGAAGCGAGTATGGTGGCTTATGCCTGTACTCCCAGCAACTGGGGAGGCTGAGGTGGAGAACCGCTTGAGGCAGGAATTCAAGACTAACCTGGGCAACATAGTAAGACCTTAGACTCTAAAAATAAACATAAATGAAATTTATAATCCATTGGTTTTTAGCTTATTAACAAGGTTATGTAACTGTCACCACTGTGGGGGAAGCAGTGATGATAAAGGGAAATCCTATACCCTTTAGCAGTCACTTGCTATTCTTTCCTCCTCATCCCCTTGCAGTCACTAGTCTACTTTCTGTCTCTATGGATTTGCATATTCTGGATATTTCATATAAATGGGATTATACAATATGTGGCCTTTTGTGTCCAATTTCTTTCACTTAGCATAATGTTTTCAAGGTTCATTTAAGTTGTAGCATGTACCAATATCTCATTCCTTTTTATGGTTGAATAATATTCCATTATATGCATATACCACATTTTGCTTATGTTTTCTATCACTTGCACAATTGGGTTGTATCCACTTTGGGTGTTGTGAAGTTGAATACATAACAGTAGCATACTGTGAGCATTCATGTACAAGAATCCATGTGAATGTATGTTTTCAGTTTTCTTAGGCATATACCTGGGAGGGGAATTGCTGGGTCATAGGGCAACCATGTTTAACTTTTTGAGGAAATGCCAAACTGGTTTCCAAAGTGGTTGCAGCATTTTATATTCCCACCATCAATGTATTAGGGACTCAGTTTCTTCACATTCTTGCCAACACTTGTTACCATCTATCTTTGTTGATTTTTACCATTTTAACGATTTTTATTAGGGTAAGTGTGTGTATGTTCTGTAACTTACTTCACTTGCAGGCATGACGGGGTGAGGTCTCTGTCTCTACATGGGCCACTCCGGGGTCTGGTCACAGTACACCACCACAGGGGGCAAAGCGTCAGTCGTAGACCACCAGGTAGGATTTCTTCCTCCCGGCTTTCCCTCTGCAGTTTCTTCCACTGCTCTCTCTTGGCTAAGTAATCAGGGTACATTGCCTTCTCAGAAGGATTCCAGTCATTTAAGCAGCACTCCAGAGACTTGTAGCATATCACTCGGATCTCTCATAGGAAGTACCCCCAGAGAGTCAGGGAAGAGAGTGGCTCTGAATGCTGACGATACCGGAATTCCTCTGCCTCCCTCAGCAGCGCGGTACCTCCATCATATCCTTTTTTTTCCTATGCTCTTCAAACCAGGCTCTCATCAAACAGACAAAATAAACCATTATTTATCTCTGGATGCACCGTGGCTTGAGGTGGTGCAGCACCTGGTTACAAAGCAGCAACACTAGGCCGGGCGCGGTGGCTCAAGCCTGTAATCCCAGCACTTTGGGAGGCCGAGGCGGGCGGATCACGAGGTCAGGAGATCGAGACCATCCTTGCTAACCTGGTGAAACCCCGTCTCTACTAAAAAATACAAAAAAACTAGCCGGGCGAGGTGGCGGGCGCCTGTAGTCCCAGCTGCTCGGGAGGCTGAGGCAGGAGAATGGCGTGAACCTGGGAGGCGGAGCTTGCAGTGAGCTGAGATCCGGCCACTGCACTCCAGCCTGGGCGACAGAGTGAGACTCCGTCTCAAAAAAAAAAAAAAAGCAGCAACACCTTCTGGTGATGGGTCAAGTAGGCCCTCCAGTATCGAGAACACCATGACTGCCTGCTCCCATTTTTTTTTTTTTTTTTTTTTTTGAGACAGAGTCTTGCTCTGTTGCCCAGGCTGGAGTGCAGTAGCACAATCTCGGCTCACTGCAAGCTCCTGGGTTCACGCCATTCTCCTGCCTCAACCTCCCAAGTAGCTGGGACTACAGGCGCCCGCCACCATGCCCGGCTAGTTTTTGTATTTTTAGTAGAGATGGGGTTTCACCATGTTAGGCAGGATGGTCTCGATCTCCTGACCTCATGATCCGCCCACCTCAGCCTCCCTAAGTGCTGGGATTACAGGTGTGAGCCACCGCTCCCGGCCCTTTTTTTTTTTTTTTTTTTTTGAGACAGAGTCTTGCTCTTGTTGCCCAGGTTGGAGTGCAATGGTGCAATCTCAGCTCACTGCAGGTTCAAGACTTCAACCTCCACCTCCCAGGTTCAAGTGATTCTCCTGCCTCAGCCTCCCAAGTAGCTGGGGTTACAGGTATGTGCCACCATACCTGGCTAATTTTGTATTTTTAGTAAAGACAGGGTTTCTCCGTGTTGGTCAGACTGGTCTCGACTTGCAACGTCAGGTAATCTGCCCGCCTTGGCCTCCCAAAGTGCTGGGATTACAGTCGTGAGCCACCTCGCCCAGCAACTCCCATCTTTTTTATTATAACCATACTAGTGGGTGAGTAGTATATCACATTTTGGTTTTGATTTACATTTCTCTAATGATTTATGATGAGCATCTTTTCATGTGCCTATTGGTTTATCTTCTTTGGATCCCTCATCTTTTTAATGTTTGCATAAAATGCCATTAATGAGGCTGGGCCCAGTGGTTCACACCTGTAATCCCAACACTTTGGGAGGCCGAGGCGGGTGGATCACCTGAGGTCAGGAGTTTGAGACCAGCCTAACTAACATGGTGAAACCTGATCTCTACTAAAATACAAAAATTAGCCGGGAGTGGTGGCAGGTGCCTGTAATCTCAGCTACTTGGGAGGCTGAGGCAGGAGAATCACTTGAACCGAGGAGGTGGAGGTTGCAATAAGCTAAGACTGCACCATTGCACTCCAGCCTGAGCAATAAGAGTGAAACGCCCATCTGAAAAAAAAAAAAATGCCATGCCATTAACGATATGCCAAGTACCCAGGCACTGTGGCTCACACTTGTAATCCTAGCACTTTGGGAGGCCAAGGCGGGCAGATGGCTTGAGCCCAGGAGTTTGAGACCAACCTGGCCAACATGGTGAAACTCTGTTTCTAAAAAAAATAATAGTAATAAATAGGCCAGGCCGGGCACGGTGGCTCATGCCTGTAATCCCAACACTTTGGGAGGCCGAGGTGGGTGGATCATGAACTCAGGAGATCAAGACCATCCTGGCTAACACAGTGAAACCCCGTCTCTACTAAAAATACAAAAAATTAGCCAGGCGTGTTGGCGGGCGCCTGTAGTCCCAGCCACTCGGGAGACTGAGGCAGGAGAATGGCGTGAACCCGGGAGGCGGAGCTTGCAGTGAGCCGAGATCGCGCCTCTGCACTCCAGCCTGGGCGACACTCCATCGCGGAAACAACAACAACAACAACAACAACAAACATAGGCCAGGCGCGGTGGCTCACTCCTGTAATCTCAGCACTTTGGGAGGCTGAGGTGGGAGGATCACTTGAGCTCAGAAGTTCAAGACCAGCCTGGGCAACATAGTGAGACCTTGTCTCTATTTAAAAAAAGAAAAAAGGCTGGGCACAGTTGCTCATGCCTGTAATCCCTGCACTTTGGGAGGCTAAGGCAGGTGGATCACTTGAGGTTAGGAGTTCAAGACCAGCCTGGCCAACATGGTGAAATCCCATCTCTACTAAAAATACAAAAACTAGCCAGGCATGGTGGAGCATACCTGTAATCCCAGCTACTCAGGAGGCTGAGGCAGGAGAATCGCTTGAACCCAGGCAGTGGAGGTTGCAGTGAGCTCAGATCATGCCACTGCACTTCAGCCTAGGCAACAAAGTGAGACACTGTCTCCAAATAAATAAATAAATAAATAATAAAATAATAGCCAGGCGTGGTGGCATGTGCCTGTCGTCCCAGCTACTCAGGAGGCTGAGGCAGGAGGATCACCTGAGCCTGAGGAGGTCGAGGCTGCAGTGAGCCGTGATTGAACCACTGCACTCCATCCTGGGCGGACAGAGTGAGAACTTGTCTCAAAAAAAGACATGCCAAGTTTGATTTCATCAGTCCTCTACTGATGGACATTTAGGTTGTTTCCAGGTTTTTACTATTACAATGATGCAAGAATAATAAAGAGTAAATATATTACTATGCCACAAACTTCTAAACACATTTCGAAAGTGAATTCTTTATCCACATGACCACTCTCTGAGGTAGGCATTATTATTATTTCCATTACAGGAACCAAGGCACAGGTGAGTTAAGTGGCTTATCCAAGATAATAGCTAAAATGTATTAGCTTCAGGGTTCTATCTTAGGCAGGCTTTCACCCACTAAGTTGTGTTCCCTAATGCATATGCAGTCATGCATATGAGCAAGTTTATCTGTTGATTGAGCAAATTCTCAAAGACAAATTGTACGCAAACTTGCCATTTAGTAGACTCTTTTTTTTTTTTTTTTTTTTTTGAGACAGGCTCTTGCTGTGTCACCCAGGCTGGAGTGCAGTGGCGCCATCATAGCTCACTGCAGCCTTCACCTCCTGGGCTCAAGGGATCCTCTGACCTCAGCCTCCCAAGTAGTTAGTGAAACCTTGTCTGTACAAAAGATACAAAAATTAGGCCAGTGATTCGTGCCACTGCACTACAATGTGGGCAACAGAGCGAGACTCCATCTCAAAGAAGAAAAAAAAGAAAACCCAACAAAAATTAGCTGCGTGTGGTGGCATATGGCTGTAATCCCAGCAACTCAGGAGACTGAAGCGGGAGAAGCGCTTACACCCAGGAACTCAAGGCTGC